ATTTTATGCTATTGAGTTTTTTGGCAAGATGAAAAGAGCATTATTTTAAATTTTCCATCTCGGCTAATTGAAAGCTAATCCCCCATTCAGAGAGACTCTGCTCTTCCATAAAGGGAGTCCATTACGACGCACACACACGCCTATGTACGAAAATTATACATACATACAATTGTTATGTATAAAGGGCATAATAATCGAATATGCTGCTGGATGCGGCGGCGACGGTCGGTGTCTCGCGGTGCTCGTTGGCTGCGCGCGCACCGGCCCAAGCATTTTCCTGGGTTGCTTTTTCGTTTTGTGTTCAAGGTCTCGAGTGGGCCTCTCTCTGACCTTAGCAAGGCGAGCCTCTTGTGCGCGCGAGTTGCTTTTATACACACACAGATTTTATTTATACGCGGCAACTCACGCGGCCGCGGCGGCACCACCGACTCGCTGCTTCGTCTTGAGACTGGATTCGAGAAGAGCAGTTATTTCGATTACACTCGCCGGGGCTGTTTCGAGAAACGAGACCCGTTTCCGACAACAACCTGAAACACCCTCGCACTCCATTCAGCCGGCAGTAGTTTTTCGTGCCTCGTCACACACGGCGAGTGCCAGTCAATGGCCCGTGCGCGCATTTATGATCTCACCGCACCGAAAATTGGCCTTGTTCAAATAATTTGACGCTCTCAATGAAATTTATTCACATCTTTAACAAACTCATTTTAATTAAATTACTTTAAATGATGAACAGTGAAAAGATTCTGTCACATCTAAAATTTAAATAAATAAATTTTTGGTAATTTTTGAAACCATTTAGAAAAGAAGAAAAAACAGACAATTTTAAAAGTCAAGAAAAAAAGGCAAAAAAGGTGGACGAGAAACTCAAAACCAGCCAACCGAGATGCTTTGATTGCCGATTTTTTTAGGCAAATAGCTTATTTTTTTTTTTTTTTTTGCAATCAAAAACAATTAATACACAAACCTTGAACACTTCAACGCATTTCATGAAAAATTGAAACAGTTATAATATAAATAAAATAAAAGTATGGTTAACTTAATAATTTGATAATTTTTGATTTAAATCAATTTAAGTTTTACTAAATATTTATTTTCATATTTTATTTTATTTTGAATTATCTAAATATCATAAATTTTTATCGCATTTGTTAAAATCATAATAAATAAATAAAGTAAATATGCCCTTCATATAATAAGCTTGAATGTTGTAAAATATACTAATTTATACAAAGTAAACAGTGGAGATTAGTAATAAATAAGTCGGATTGATTTGAAACTAAAACATAAATTTTGGAAGATTTCATTAGCTATATAACCACATATGATTTCTGACAATGAATGAAGAGCATAGTGAATATAAAACAGAAACTCATAACTTATGACTGCAATGTTGTTTTTAAGAACAACAATGTCAGGGATGAAAGTTTAAGAAATAGTTAAAATTTGAAAATGAACAATGATGAGGTAAGCTGTTCATGAATCATAAAGCAAATTTAAAAATGTAGTCATATTGACTCTATTGACGTATCTCATATTGTGATTAATCTTGTTTTTGTTTAAATTTTCTGGAAAAATAACTCCGAATTAAAATTTTTGGAGATATTTTGCTGTATTCATAATTAAGTAGTTCATTTTTTTAAACTTGTAATTTATTCCCTTTTTGAACTTTGAAACTTATTTTGCTTTGCTCCACAAATCATGACCGCACTCGAGATTTTCGCAGCCGTAATCCGTCGTTTCCTGAGCGCGTTCAAATCTCTCTGACACTAATCACAAAAGAGGCGAGATTTGAACGCCTGCACTGCGCGACAAACCTCAGCCATAAACTCGCGCGACACGCCTATTTTGCATTCAAGGCAGGCGATGACGAAAAGAAGCCAAAAAGGGAGCACGTGATCGTTTACAACACAGACCGCCTCCGGCAATCTAATTGGGGGAATATTTAAATATAAATAAAAAGATATGAAAGAAGCAGACGTGCAGTTTCTCTGCTCTCGGAAATTTATTCGAGATGATTTGTTGCGTGTCGCGCCGGCACCAACACACGTGTCCGCCACGCAGCTATTATAGAGAAAGAAGCCAGACGCCAACTTTCTACAAAATATATAACCACCAGCAGAGTTTTTAAACATGCAGTGTGGCCACGAAATCAGCAGCTAATAAAATCGTCCCGATGATGAAAAAAATTAACAGCTGTGAGCGCGAGTGCCACACACAGAAGAAAGTTTCCGCTTGGACACCAAATTTGATATGGAGAGCCATATAATTATATATGGTGCCAAAAAAAAAAAGATCAGGGAGAATGGCTAAGGAAGTGTATCATGTAGCAAAAAATGATGCCCTTATAAGTGTTTACATTAAGAGGATTTGAAGCCTTTTCCAAATTTTATGTTTTTTATTTTTGAAATAGTTCACAATAATTAAGAAAATAACCGACGAGAAATTTCTGGTTTTTGGATTCAATGATGAGTTGTATGAGTCGTTTTTCTGTACTTGTGTTTACTGTTCATAAGTTTTCAACAAAAAAGCAACTTAAAATATTTTATATTTATATTTTTCTTTATATATGGACACCCTTGCCATCCGTGATCTGCTGATATCTGTTTAATTGTTATATTTGATATTATTCGTGTGTTTAAAATGAATTCAGTTTTCAAACGGTATATTGTGTTTAAGCTATTTCTATATCGAAATAAACAGGGTTCAATTGCGGAGATCGAACTGCGAAAATGTGGTCTTTGACTAAAGTTATAGACTACAGACCTGTGTTTTTAATTATTTTAGTTTAAACTCAAAGTTGCAATATCAATTTTGCAAGGAGCTATAAAAAATTTCTGATTGATATTGCTTTTAGAAAGATTTTAGAACTTAAAAGTAACAGCCAAATAATAGTTTATTTGTTTTGTTTTAATTTTGTAAGCTGATTGCACCGCTTAAGAGAAATAAGGCGAATCCATAAATCACCAAAAATCTGCCAAAACAATTAAATATATTTCATGGTTTGATATAAAGAAGCCGTGGCACAAATTATTGATCCCTTGATTTCATCAGTTATCACTGAAGATGAAAAACATTTGTGCATGTTTTTATTATGTATTTTGATTCTTGTAAAAACCTTATAAAAAAATTAAAATATGCGTCATTATTTGTATTAGAAAATGAAAGATTTAGTATAAATTTTCTGATCTATATAAATAAAGTAATAAATATATAATCAAAAATAAATAAAGTAAATTGTTATATTAAAATTAAATTAAAAACAATTTAAAAAACGTTAAAATATAAAAATTATTTTTTTTTAGCACTTTTATAGTTATATTTGAGCACCAACCGCTCAATAGTTGAGTGTGGTTGTGTGCACCTGTTCTCACACTAATAGTTGTTTTGTTTGCTCTCTCTGGTCGGTCAGGCTAGACGAACACTAGACGAGTGGCGGCTTTTTGCTTCCCGAGTTGAGAGACGATGACTTCCACTTGTAAACTTCACCTACCACGCTCTCCTCCCGTCTTAATAACCGCGTCTTCTATATTTATATAAATAAATTTATAATATTATTTGTTGTTGTTTTGCGGCCAGCGCACTCGGGATGAAATTGCACTCGATCCGTCTCAACGCGCTGCTTCTATTGCGTTTCAAACCATTATTTAATTTTCCGTCTGCTTTGTGAGAGACGAGCGAGCGCAGCGTGCGATGATTGAGCTCTCGCGGTCGATTCACCCACGGTGAGCGACTAATGGGACGGAAAATTGCCTGTTACACACCGCGTATCTTTTTGTCTGCTCTTTCACTTAATGATCTCTCGTGGACCCGCCAGATATCATCACGGCCCAGATTGAATTTTGGTGTTTTTTTATAATACTCTCGCGCGGGTGGCTGCCAAGAGAGAGAGAATTGATTGATTTATGGCGCGCCTTGTTAGGAAAAGTAGCGATTCCATCGACTTGTTCAACATTTGCTTGATGTTCTCGTCGTGAGATTTGCATCTGTGCGTGGAGGGAACACGAAACGGACGAGGAGAAATGGAGCGAGATGAAACAGCGATCGGGAGAAATTTCATTTTAAATGCATGTTTTAAATAAAAATTTGCGTGCTGCACGAAATCTCTTTGACGTTTTAAACTGAGGGGTTCTGAAAGTTGCCGTTTAAAAAGTGCATTTTCTTGTGAAAGTGATATTTAAAAATTAAAATTAATTTTAAATGGACAGAAAAAAAGTAAAAAAAATAATCGTAAAAAAAATATAGCTATTTTGATAACAAAAGGTCAGAAATGAATATATAGCAAAATAACCTTTTCTCCTGATTCCATTTTATTTAAAACGATTTTATTTTTTTCCATAATTTGTTTCAAATATTTAAAGAAAACTGGCTCATTAGTTGGGTTGGGATTAAAGTTTATTCTAAAAATATTTATTTCAGGGCTTATAACACGTATTATTAATTAATGAAATCAATGAAATTGACACAGAAATAAAATTCCTTTTGGAAAATTAAAAGAAATCCATTTTTGAGAAGAATCCTTAAAAACTTTTAAATTAACAGCTCAAATTTTTCGGATTTTTTAATCAAATTGATCACATAAGAAACTTTTGCTTATAAATTATGGTATTTCATATTTAAAATAAATTTATAAATTATATAACACTTATAAACTTATTCATTAAGAAAACACCACAAATTTATTTTATTTCCTGGAAGTTTTCTTTGCGATATTATATGCACAGTGAATAATCTCTTGCACAAAGAACAGGAAATAATGCAAAAATGTCCTCGCCCCTTATTGCATTTGCGTGTGTTATTGTACATTCGTACAATTGTGCAGTACACAGACTACTCTCTCGAGAGGGGACATTAAAAATTCATCAAAGCATCGCAAAGGCGATCTTTTCCTCGGCTCCAGCCGCAGCATCTCTCTCTCTTTCTCGACGACGGCGCGGCTTATAGGAGGGGAGAGACGGGCGGAGGCGTCCTGGCGGGTGGAGGGGGTCTCAGGGTCCGGCGGACTCTGCACCGGCAGACCCATTGTTGAGCCGATTGTTGATGGAGAGCGGCAGCAGCCAGCCGCAGTCGCCCGCCCCGCAGGCGGAGGCGGCCCCTGCCCCATCGCCACCCCCACCGACAGAGGAACAACCCTTCCTGGAGACAGACACCCCTGAAGTAGCCACCGACGAAGAGGTGGTCACCGACAAGGGCGCCATGCTCATCGTCATGACCGCCGTCGATCCGAACGACCTGCAACAGCCACCCCCGCCACCCCCGTCCGCCTCCATCCTTATTCCTGCAGACGAATTCCTCATTAGTTCAGCACAACTCAATGAAGAAAGGCAAGTGGATAAAATGAGATAATTACAGCATAGGTTTCCGGTATTTCCGGTTTTGACGTACGCGTGCGCACCGGTAGTCTCACATGGGACTGCGCATGCGTGTCTGGTGTCTGGAGCACAATAAGTAAAAAATTTAAATTTTAAGTATTAGCCATGTTGAAAATTTTTTTAAATATAAAATTTTTTAAACAAAATAAAAAATTAAAATAATATTTTAATTATAATTGACGTGTCTATTTATTATCACATATAAAATTATTTAAAAGGATTTTTTTATTGCAAAACGTCAAAAGGACAAAGCCCTTGTTGGTTTGTTCAACGGCCACCGGCGACGAGCGTGCAACAATCGGCCGCATTGTTGAGCATTGACATGCAAATCGAGCAGTGACTTGGCCAAACTAAGACATCACTCAAATAACACCTCAAACGTTTTTTCAATTTTTTGCGCGGCTTGATTTAACGCGATGTGACATTTATTGATGATGTGTGCTCCGGAGAAAAGGGTCGAACATGTAGGGGAGGTTTGGAAGAAAAAATAAATGAATCGGTGAAGCAAGGGTTGCTGATCAAACAGAGCATCCCTCAATGTCACGGACCCTTATAAGGAAAAACAATATAATAATTCTCTTCGCCATCTCACGGTCAAAGTGTGTGATATTCACATTTGCCTAATGGATCGTCATTTATTTTATTTTTACGACACAATCACAGGCGGAGCGAAATAGGGAAAAAAACAACACGCACATTAATTCAGGCGAGAGAGCCGTGCATATATTAAACATCACGAAAGATGGGCCTTTCTTTCTTCTGCCTGGCTGCTGTTGTGATGAATGAAAAAAAATTAATAATATGCCATTGCTGCGAGCGTGGAGAGAAATCAAAACTGCCGTGCTCGGAAATTAATCTCAGCGTAGTTTGCGACGATAATAATGCAGATATTAATTAGCGTAGACATATTTCCTAGCAGCACCGAGAGCCTTCAATTTCTTTCACGTCGGTCTTTCAATGTTGCAATTTAATTGTCTTTGATCAACGTTAATTTAAGCCTCTCTCTCTAACCGCCGGCATGAAGAGTTAATTAATTTTTGTTTGCTACGGCGCACACGGGAAAGCAATTTCCTGTGCGAAAATAGTCGATTAATTTTTTTTATTTTAAGCCCCGGCTTAAATTTCAATTGGTTCCTCGTCAACGAGTAAAAAATAAATGGTTGTTGTTAAATATTCAAAATTGCAACATCTTTATATAGTTTATTAATTAATGAGAAGTTTATATTTTTAGACGCGCACCATCAACGAGAGCTTAAGGGCAATTAGATCAAATTGGATATGGAAATCCCGTGGACATTTATTGCAGCGATTGAGCACAGCCATGCACGTATGGCGCGATTGAAAAATGAGCGTTGGTTAATTTCGCGTATATATGCCAGAGAAAAGTGCCGAGCATGTTTTTAAATGTAAATGCGCGTTTGATGCTGAGAGCGATCCGACAGCGAGAGAAGACATCACAAATTCCATGTGGGGAATAAAAGAAGGAAGGAGAGAGAGAGATGAAAATTTCGCAAGCGGCGCTGTTGCTAAGTGTTTAATTAATTTTGACACCCGATGCTTTTGTGGCCGCGAATGCCCCTCATAAAATAGAGTGTCCGCGAATTTTTTCGATTCTAAAAAATTCACTCGGAAACAAACAAAATTTTGACCACGTGGTCGCCGGATTTACATTGCGCGGGTCTCCGAGAGGAAAATAATCCTTCTTGAACAGGAGGGTCGATGAGGAAGAATTAAGTAAGAGAGCCGCGCTCTTTGAACGAAATAAAGAAAGAAAGGGTTGAGATGAAAAAGCGACAACAGCGCTCGCCGCTCGTCTGCTGTATCCAGGCAGGCGCCTCTCGATGCTCGTGACGTCACTCCATTAGCATACCCAGACGCACTCAAAAATCCACTCGCTCGAAAATCGAATGAGAGAGAATCGCCCAGGTCGAATCACTAATCTACCTGCGCTGGCCTAAAAATCTCCTTTTAACGAGAGGAATTTTTATTAATTTTTTTTTTTTATAGGAAAGATGCAAAATTATATATATGCCGCCAATTTTCGCAAACAAAAGCGATCGTTTTTGCTAATCGCACGCGTGCACAATGGAACGATGATGAAGTGCAATCGAGCACTGAATGGCCCTTGTTGTTAAATTGGCCATTGGCGCACAAACAAATAAGAGAGCTTGGCGAGAGCAAGATTTCAGCCTGGGGCTACATTTTAATATTATTTCAAGAAGGAACGAACTCTTTTCACTTGACCCTCCGCTCTGTGGTTTCCTAATCATGAATCAAAAACACGCTGCGTCCCTCGAGACACCTCATTTTTCTCAGTTTCTTTCGCCGAAGGAATTTTCCTCAATGCATAAAATCGTCTGGGGACTTTTATATTATACGTGAAATTTATATACTCTGCAGAGGATAAGATTATATTTGTCCTCTGTGTACGGCACGGCCGCAGTCATTAGCGCGCTGCTTATAAAGTGCATTTCGCTGAGAGAAGCCAAAGCTTAAAAAGACTAAAGAAAGATACATACACAGAGTTGCAGAAGTGCGGCTGATTTTAGCCGTGTTTCGCGTGGGCAGCGACTTTCGTGTGGGTGTGCTGATGATTTTACACTCGCGCGCGCTATTTAGACTTTTATTTCTTTCCCACTTGCGGGGTTTACCAGCAATCAGAAATTTCAAAGCTTTTGCACAACACAAAATATCGTAAATTCGTTGCTTAACCCGGAAGGTTGCAAAATAAATAAATTATAATAAAATTATATATGTGTAAAATAAACAAAAGTTTTCATTAAATATTGAAGATTAATCATTCAGGTGGATTTACACGGAACAAAATTTAAGTTGTCAATGTTAATTTTCCAATAATTTGATTTACCATAAAGTTCAATGATAACATTTTTACTCTTAATTTCAGCTGTCCAAAGTACAACAAATAACAATTATATGCGAAATTCCCATAAAAAGAAATGATAATTTACAAAAAGTGTCAAAAACTTGGTTTCCAAGATAAACCAAAGCTCTCCTTTGGTGTCTCTAATGAATTGTTGAATTAAAATTTGCTCTTTAGGAATGAAATTTTCATTATAATCACTGTTTTGCTGATGAGAACCCAATTTTGAATAATTATTTTGAAATTTATGATTAAAAGTGAGACTTTTTCCTCTGTATTTAAATTTTGTATGTTTCTGCGTGGGTTTCAGCAATGATTAGAAGGTGTTCCTGTTTTTTTTTTTGTGCGCTCGAAACGATTTCACAAATCAGCACAGACGCGAGACATGGTGAGGCGGACGCGAATTGCTCGCTCAGCACATTTTTTAATGAGAAGTTAAGTCTGTGTTTCGGAATTTAAAATACACACACACTCGAAACGGTCCTTCAGCGGACGCGAATCTACATGAAACGAGCGTTGGTCGCGCTCTACACAAAAAAGCAGCAACATCGAGTGTCGATCGAGTGACTCGGAACAGAGAGAGAAACAGAAACAACCTTCTTAAGGGCGTGGTCACACTTTTATCCACACACACATGCATGAATGTGTACATTTATTTCTACACAGCTCGGCGCGCAGAGATAGATTTTCCGAGTGATGCATGCCATGCCATCGCTACTCGCAGATTATATATTTTATTTATTTGAAGTACGTATATAGCCTTATGAACACTCGGCGGTTTGATTAGCATTTTTCATACAACGCCGGACAGTTACGGACAAACATTTATTCTTTTTAATTCCAGCCGTCGCTCGCGAAATTTAAACTAGAGCGATTTTCTCACTTGGCATATTTGCATAAATTAAGATGTCGAAGGAATAAGAAGTTAAATTAGCCTCGTTCCAATAAGGTTGATTGGAAAAGGGCGAAGTAAAATAAAAACTGTTGGCATCAACGAGTAACGCAGACTCTAAATTGAACAAAGTTGAATTTTTTCAAAATATTTCACTGGATTCATTTAAAAAATTAGACTTTGAACATAATGCATATTTAAAACGTTCCAAATTGTTGTTGTAGATGATTCCGCTAAAAAAGATAATGGATTCAGTTTCCTTATAAAATTTGTTCGTATAAAGCACTTCTTCAAAATTATATATCAAATTTGGTTGAACAATTCAATTATTAAAGCTTCTCATGAAAAAATTATTTAAACTTCGGAAAAATATATTTGACTGAGAATTTGTAGAGCTCTTTTTACTTAAAATGTATTTGCTTTGCTTATTTTTCTATTAATTTATTACGTAGTCAATTTTTTTTCAAGAGCTCACTTTGGATCGTTTACAGTAATCAAAATATGCATGCACAGTAACCATTTAATTATAATACGCAAAACTAATTTAAACTTTGCGTCTCGAGTGTAGCAACACGTTTTGATATTCTTTCTTGACGGGCCTGACGGTTAAATTTCACTTGAACGCCCGTGGATGTCCGAGCAATAAAGGTGAATGAAGCGAGATGCTTTGTTGCGAAACGCGCGTCCCAGCATACGCACATTATATCGCTGCTCTCAAAGTGAGACTTTCTATTGGACTGAAAACCAAGGCGATTTTATAGGCGGCATTTATTTTATGCTCATTTTATGTATTTGATCGCCGGTGGCTGCCGGACTGACTCAACTCTCTTGAATACATTTATAAAAGAGTTGCCCGCGAATTTCCAAATATACTTTTACCAATCTCAGTGATAATAACGAGAAGAAGGGAGACGTGTGTGTGTGTGTGTAATAAAAAGCCGCCGCCAAAACGATTTTTTGCCTTTGCTCACAGGTGAGATGTTATCTCTCTTTCCAGTCAAGAGCGAAGCTATAGAGGATGGAAATGAGAGAGAGAGATCTCTCCCGCAGCATCTCAACAGGTGCCGGCCAATGGAAAACTGACGCACAAGAAGAAGTTAGTAGTGCTCTATGTGCGGAGATCGTATGAAAAAGATTATTTTTTGTGTTTGTGTTCGGAATTAAATTCCTCATTTTTCA